AAAGATTGCCTGGAAGGACCAGACAATAGGAAGGTCTCTTTCATTGTCAAGGACAGTTACACTTTGAAGATGACGCTCAAAAGAGGTTAAAATGGGTCAACAAGCAATTGTTGGGCCCTTGCAAGGACATGTGAAGAGAACATTGTTAAAGTCACACACAAAAAAATTGCGATCTCAAAGAATTCAACTTTAACCTAGAGGAGGTGTGGGAAGGAAGGAACTAACATGCAATACTGATTTCACCCCGAAGAAAAGCTAAGGGGGATGGGAACCTACCCTGAGAGGATTAATTAATAGACAATTTGAGGACGGTTTCTGTCATTCTGAATATCCACCCACACTGTGTATTAGAAAGATTGAAGTGAGATTTAGGACAAAGTGAGATGATGTGATTTTTTTTTTTTTTTAAGAATGTACAGTTGTAAAGGGTGTTAACTCCACACATGTAAGAATTTGTAAGAACTTGTTTTTTCTGGCTGCCTTTTAGGACATATGTGTGCCATTTAATCAGATGATAGGTAAGTGGCTAGGGGATGGGTATAAACTTTGAGGTATATTATTATTTTTGTAATGTTTCTCAGATATCCTTAAAGGGAAAGCCCAGAAACTTGTCTGAGAAACGCTTAAGGCAAATTCAAATTAGTCTGTCTACATTTATGGGTTGCTCGGTCCTGTACAGGTCACGTGACTTTGGGCAAGAAATGTATAACTCCTCATTCTCATTTTCTACAAATGTAAAAGGGGGGTAACAACAACAGGCTACAAGAGTATTGGGGAATAAAAGGAGAAATGAAAACATAGATACAGACAAAAATTGGTACATTAATGTTTATAGCAGCATTATTCATAACAGCCAAAAGGCAGAAATAACCCCAGTGCCCATCAGCTGAAAAATGTATTAACAGAACATGATATCAGCATACAATGAAATATTATTCAGTCATAAAAAAGATGGCACACTGACACATGCTACAGTAAGGGTAAATCTTCGGAAATTATATTTAGTGGAAGAAAATAGTCACAAAAGACCATATCTTATATAATTCCACTTATATTAATTATCCAGAGACAGAAAGTAGATCAGTGATTGTTTAGGGTCCAGGAGTGGACAGGATAGAAAGGTGATAAAAGGCTCTTATTTGAGTGGACGAAAACACAAACTTACTGTGGTTATGTTGTACAGCCACAGGAAACCTGGGATTACAACACCTCGGATTGTTCCCTTCTCTACATTTCCACTGCATTTATTTACTGGACAACTTCAAATTTCTTTTTGTAAAAATTTCCAGGCCAACTGGTTTTGGAATTTAATTTTTTGTATTAATGATGTACACTATGGATGGAAGCCCAAAGTAATACCTCATAGTCATTAATACATCTTCATCAAAATATTAAAGGAGATGAGGTTTATCTTAAGCTCACTTCAGTTAGAGTCATAACTAATACCTACTGAGTTATGAAAGAATTTACATTTTCAGAGATTTTTGGATTTCATTATTATGATTAATGGACCTGTTCTTATTTCATGTCTCCTAAAAAGGTTTTTCTTGAACAACATGGTTCTTCATTGCTATATCCACCGTGATGTGCCCAGCATGGAGTGGGTAGGCAATAAATTTGGAAGAATGAATGAATGGAAAATCTAAGTCTTATCCTAGGTTGAGCTTGTCAACGAAACAGATAGTGTCCTGTTCTCAAATATCTCACAAATATTACCCAGGATAGTAAGAATCTAATAAACACTTTACAATCAATCCCATTATCACTGACTTACAAAACCAGCTAGACTAACTTCTGGAGGGCACATGGTTCACAGAATATGGAAGGAGCTGTAGACGGAGGTTAAATAGGGACAAAAATCTGTAGAAAAGTACTGACATGGAAAATAGCATTTCACAAAAGACCCTGGTCTATGCAGGAGAGATGCTACATACATTAAGAATTTTGAGGAACTTGTGAACCTATTCCCCTAAATCCTATACAGTGTTATAAACCATTATTACATTGATAAAAACTAAAAGAATTCTGGAGCATTTCCCCCATGTCAAGTCTTCCCTTGACAATTGCTTTCCTGAGTCTGCATGAATTAGAATCCTCAACATCACCTTAGAGTTACAAAAACATTCTTTTATTCTTCTCCTTGCTAGGCAGTCCAACTTTCACAGAGAATTGAGCTAAAATATTAAGTGGTAGATTGTAGGGTGGCAGCTATGGCCAAGGGGCAGGGGAACGCTAAAATGAGCTACACTAAATGGGAGATTCTGAGTGCAACAGCTGGTTAAATTATTAACGGCAATTGTTTGCAAGTCCAGGGCATTGGTGAGAATTGGTACTAGAGGCAATCATTACTTGCAAAAATTGTTTTGTCTCTGTGTGTTTCAGTTTACTTGTCAGAAAATGGGGTAAAACTTACCTTGTGTCACTATGATGAAGATCTATGTAGAAGGGCTTCTCAGAGAGGGATATGATTACATACTCACCAGCAAAGAATGCCATTGTCAGTGAAAGACAATTGGATCGGTAAGCCATAAATTAGTCCTGCATAACCATGGGTAATATTTATACCAATTATTATTATTAGTCATAAAATAATGATTTGCAGTTGCATACTGCTCTTATTTTTCAAAAGACTTTGATGTGATTGCAAACTTGACACCCAAATTAGCCTTCACAGTAAACAAAGCGTGTTATGCCAATTTAACAGTAAATAATTCCAGCCAAATGACAAAGCTGTCAGTGCTTTAGATCCAGCTTGAATCCAGCTCCTTAGCTCTATCTGACTTTCTCCCATTTCCTTTCACAGGTCTGTTGCTCAGCTCCTATCACCTTGAGAAGTGTCACCATCTTTAGAAACCTTCCCTTCCCTTAGTTCCTGAGCTTTCATTCCAAGGAAGGATTTTGTTTCAAATCAAAGAACTATTTCATAACAATACGATCCTTGACAAGTTCATGCATGTGTATCAACATTCCACAATTAATCAGTTCCCACTCTCCACTTTGTCATCAGAAGGAGAGAGGATAGAAGTAGTTTCTAAACTTACCTCACTTAAGATTACTGTACAAAGAAAGGATGAATAGATGTTATCTGTACAGGTAGAATATAAGCATATATGTACTTATATACTGGCTTTTATAATATGGTTTTTAATATTATAATACATGAAATTAAATTTTATAATCAACAAATTTAATAATTTTATAAAATACTTACGTTTTAAAAGTTTATATATATGTATGTGTGTATATGTTCCTATACATATGTGTCTTATAATATTTAAGAATAAATCTCATCTATGAAAGGGAGATAATAGTAACTATACTAATAATCTTAATAATTAGTAAGCCATTTATGGGAACTGAATGAAAGCACTAAGGACTAAGAGCAGTCCTTAATGCATAATAGATTCAACAAATGCTATCTTGCATTTGATTATATATTTTACATATTACAAAAAGATTCCTGACTTGTAAACATTACTCACCAGACATTATCTTAAATAGTTAACTCTATTTCTTGCCTCATCTCAATTCTGAATAGAATCTCTCCTGTCTTGTATTTCTTAATTAATTTGCTATTTTGTATTTGCACAGGTGAGGGAATCCTTTCCAATATCAAAAAACAGTTCTCACTCCTGGAATTAACCATAAAAACTTTTGATTACTTGTTTTAAAATCACTTTCAGCAACAATTTCTTGACCTGAAAAAAAAAAAAGAAACAAGTTGGGCAAGCTCATGATTAAATAGCAAACTAACATATTCCTGAATCAAAAATGTAGGTGTAATCCTGACCCTGCCCACATACTTCTCTTCAGCCAAATGGCATGAAAGGAACTTACTATTGTCATGTGAAGTTTGGTGAGTAGCTGTCTTTATACCCTTAGGAAACCTTAGTGACCTCCCTTCATAACTTGTATGTTTTCTTATAAGAAAATCATGTTAATAAAAAAATAAATAAGGTCGAAACAGTTATTATAAGACCATGTCAATTTGAAATAAAGAAGGTTCTAAAGTTTGGGGTTAGTTTTTTCTTCACAGTTCTTTACTCCAAGAGAATGCAAAGAAATCAAAACGTCCTCAAAAGACTGAACAGATTCTTAAATATTAAGCAGTTACTCATTATAAAATTTTATTCCTATTGAAACTTAAGAGACTTTAGCTGGACTTTAGACTTGACAGTAAATATACACTATAAAGCCATGTACATGTATATATTTGAACTGTAGTGGGAAATACAATAGGAAATCTCAGAATCCCTAAAAATCCAAGTCTATGGACAATTACAAAGAATCTGAGTGAAAAACTGCTCATGGAAGAATTGATTTGTGTCTCTCCATGTTGCAAAAATACATTAAAAAAAAAAAGCTAAAACCAGAAAATCATTGTCAAAGGTCAGTCTCAGCATTGCAGCACTGTGAAAAGCTGATGTGTTGAACTGAATTAAAATTTTAAAATAGTGCCTAAAATGATCGGTTGGATAAAACATTCCCTGAGCTGTTCCAATCTTTTCTAGTAAGAGCCAGAAAATCTGGCCTCTCTTTTGCACTAAAATTAGTTCCAAGGGTTTCAGGGCCTCCAACAAGGATCCAGCTTCAGGTTTCTGACATAAAAACCTTAATATCGCCTGAAGAATTCCCCTAGGCACATCAGGAGTCATCGAATTTCATCTTAACGATTAAGTTACTGACATGCAATTATGTTTTCCAAAACTGTTTAGAAATTCAAAGGGTCCTTAGACAACATCCTTAAACCAAAGCCCAACTTGGCAAGTGAAACCGTTTACCTGCAAAAGGTAAACAAAGAAGGTGCTCCCAATCCCTGTGGGCACATCCCGAAGCGGCACGCGATGTACCCCATCCCCATTGTGAGGCGCAAATTCTTTGTGACACTGGGAGACACCGCAGAACAAAAATACTATTAGAAATGCTTCAAAAGGAACATTTTTGGCTGCGATAGAGACTTTTGACATTATTTATTAGGTTCAAAACTGCTTGACAAAAGCCTAACAATGGTTCTGTGGAAACCGGTACATCTGAGGCCCTCTCTGTTGTTCTGGGCAGGCATTGATTTGAGGATAGGCAGCGCTCGCGGAACAATCCCCTCGCAGCGGTGAATGTAAGTGAGCATTCACCCCGGGCCTGGGAGGGGCCTGTGAACAAACCGTATGGAAACGCTGGGGTGGGCGGGAGGGGGGAGAAGCGCAAACCTTGATTAACCTCTTCGAGGGGAGATGGGTGGGAGCTCCGGGCAGCGGAGGAAGGGGCTCTTCTGGCAGACTGCTCTGGAAGGAGGCGTCTGCCCTGGGCCCCCTTTTCGCCCGGGGTTGAGGATGCCTCCAGAGCATCTCCGGTGCCATGGCAACTGCGCCTCTTCCGATGGGATTTCCGGGCACGCCCAGGAGCTTCTGTGGGCAATCTGGGGCTGCCCGAATAACTACTTCAGCTGCCACCCTTTCCTCCAGCTTCGACCCAGAGGAACTCCAGGAGAAGCTTCGCGAGGCAACGGGGATCCGGCTTCTCCGACAGAGGCCGATGGCAGTGTAGGGTCTCAAGGTGGGACCTGGAAAGCAAAGGAAGCAGGACTGACCAGGAAGTGTGCCAGGCGCACCCTACCCCTCACCCCCCAGGAGGGATGTCTGAGAAACTGGCTTTTTATGACATGCAGAGAGAAAACTCAAAACTCCTCTGATGTCATCCTTCTGTGCTTCCCCATATTCCTTTATGAAAATAAAAAAAAATACTATTTAGTCCTTTCCTGTTTGAAAGAACATCCCTCCCCAGATAATTTTTACAGGATTTGCATTTTTTTTTTATATTAAGGAAAACTGAAACTTCCAAAAAAGAAGAAACAGACGAACTGGTGATTGAAATTGGTCAAATTAGGCAAAGGCTTGTGAATGGAAATTTTATTTGCAAAAAAGGATCCAAGTTCGGCCCTCCCTAGTGGCGCAGCGGGTTAAAGCACAGCACTGAGAAGCTTAAGCGGGTGAAAGCACAGCACTGAGAAGCTTAAGCCACTTCCGCATGAGTTCGATTCCCGGAGGTGACCACATGGCGAGGCAGACCTCTCCTGACCCGCCCGCTGCTCCCCTCAGCAGTGTACTTCGTTAATCTGCCTGTTCTATTCCCCACTCTGTCTCACCCGGTGAGAATCCTCTCGCTGCCCCTGAGCCTCTGGCCTGTACCCCAGTTCTGTATGCACAAATAAATAAATCTTAAAAAAAAAAAAAAAGGATCCAAGTTCATTTAAGTTTACAACTGATGATCCAGAACTTCAGAGGGGATGGCTTCATGAGCTTTATGAGCAGTTTCAAATCAGTAAAAATTAAAACAATCAGTGAATGAATCTGGGTTTAAGCAACACATAACTGTACACTAACAACAGATTTGATTTATCCTTTCTTTACCCACCCAAACCATTATCTCATGTGATGATGGGTAATTTTTTTTTTAAAGTTGGGTAATTTTTTTTACAGTGCAGTCAGTACTGTCAACATATATGTCACATGCATGTGTGTGTATGTCATATATACAATACAATATTGAAGGTTTAGACCTTACAAAATCTTCCTACACAAATTTAAATTGACCTACTCAAATTAAAGTTTAATTCTTTAGTAGTGAATAAAGACAATTTACGTCTTTTAAGTCTTTTAAGTCTACAAGTTTTAATGTTTGGGGGATGTGACACCAGTTTCCTATGTGATTTAGAAAGGCAGGGTCACACCTCCACAGATGTGTGTCACCCACCCACCCACCAGCAAAGCACCTACCTAGTCATTCTGTAAGTAAGTATATTTTGAAAGGGCTTTCAGGTATGTAAACTATTTGGAACTACCTACAGGAGGAGTCACAAATTCAGAGCATGTAAGAGATTTATAATGCACAATAATTCCTGAGAATTATCCTGGGTGTAGCCAGTCCGTGTCTAGGAAAATCAATTCAGTTCATCACATCCTGCTCTTTGGCTGGGAAGTACTGACTGGGTTCTCCCACAGCACTCTCACCAGACCAAAGTGAAACTGAAAATTTTTTAGCAAACCTGATATCTCCAACATGAGATTGTTTCCAGGAAATAAAGATGTAATGGCATTTCAATATCTCCAGATTAAAAAAGAGCTGTGAGAGGGCTAACCACATTGCTTTGTGGAAACTTGATGCTTAATAATTGTTTGTGAATTTGAATGTCCAGACTTGGTAGATGACCCATTTATTGCCATCAATAATCAGTACAAGAAGAGTCCCTCAGAGAACATGGGTGTGGCTCTAGAATTTGGAGCTAACAGACTGTGATATAGACACAAAGTTCTGCCCTCTGTCTTCAATTAAATAGTCGGAATTCCTTCCCTGAAAGCAACTCAATGATATTGCATATTTTACAAACTGTCTTCAAGGAGTAGGATGATATCACAGGGTAAAAATGGCTTTGGGTTCAGACCTTCATAGGTTCAACTGCTGGCACATCTCCTGTCCTAAGCCTTGTCCTTACCTGAAACATGAGAATTATATTACCTATATTCACAGAGTTGTTAATAGGCTAGGTTTGTTCATCATTTAGTCATTCATTAATGTCTGAGTGCCTGTGGTATGTCTGGGCAGTATACCAATTAGAGATACAGCAAGAAATAAAGTAGGCTATATCCCACTATAACTTACACACAGTGAGAACTCTAAATGAGAGACTAAAATGATGATGAGAATCATCTTGTCAGTATTATTTGGTGCAACACCTGAATCATCAAATTGCCTGCCATCAACTCAGACTTGTCTTCTCCTTTAGTACAGTAATGGGCAACAAGTAGACTTCCATTAGACTGATAAATGCAGTTCCTCTAGAACTTTCTAGAATAGGACCCACCATTGAGTTGATAACTTTGTTGTTTATATTGCATTTTAAAACAAAATATAACCAATTGAAAAGGGAGGAAGATGTGATACTGGGCCCTCCCTGGTGGCACAGCAAGTTGAAATGCAGCACTACACACTGCCATAGTCGCTTCAGTGACAGTTCGATCCCCAGTCCCAGAGGTGACCCACATGGTGCAGCAGATTTCTCCTGGCCCACCTGCTGCTCCCCTCAGCAGTGTACTTCATTGATCTGCCTGTTCTGCTCCCCGCTCTGTCTCTGGTGAGTCCTCTCACAGCCCCTGCATCTCTGGCCTGTAACCCAGTTCTGTATGCATAAATAAATAAATCTTAAAAAAAAATAAAAAGATGTGATACTTACTACTCAGGACAGCGTCGCCCTTGGGATTGCCAGAAGATGACCGGTTTGGAATTTTCTCCTGTCTATTAATATGTGTGCCTGAAGCTTCCAGGTGCATTGGATTTACAGAGCGGGATACAGTAAGCTTTTTTATCAAATGTTGATCCATAAGTGAAGAGTCCCAGGCCTGCTTGAGGACTCCTCTGGCTCTCTTACTAACTTTCTGTGTAGCAGTGATGGTCTTTGATCTCTCATCATATTCACTGGATGGTGTTGGGGTGGGAAGGACTTCTCCAAAGACTTCTTCTTCCAAAGAGGCTGCACTTACAGCAGGAGATCTGGGGATAATATACTGGCGAGTAGAAAGCAGTTTTTTATATACCATAGGAGTCTGAATCCTTTCTGGAATGACTGTAAAAAGTAAACACATCAATGTAAATGAGCATGCTGAAGATAACATACTAAATTGTCAGGAAGGTCAAAAGCAGCCATCCATGGGTTATTTGTTTCACGTTTCAATCCTAAAAAAAAATGACAAAGCCAGGGTCCTGAGTAACCTGAAAGGGGGAAGAGGAGGAGGGAAAAATGTGGAAAGGGAGATATATATCTAAGAATGATTTTGTTGAGCTCAAGCTATATGGCATACCCTGTGCAAGGCCCCAGACATCTTGGTCAGTTAGTCCTCACAAGAGTTATATCTAACAGATACTCTTAGTACCTCTATTTAATAAATCAGAAAGCTAGTTAGAACATATAGATGAAAGTGTATTCTCCCAAATTAAATGTGGAAGCCTTTGTCCAGGCACTGTGACTTTGTTTGGAAATAAGACCTTTTCAGAGATGATCAAGTTAAGAGGAGAGGCTTAGGATAGGGTCTTAATCCAATGGGGCTCCTTAGAAGAATTATCTTGAAAACAACAAATGAATGAATGACTGGCTCACCCCTCATTGGATGCTCTTCAGCATTATATTATCACCTTCTCCATATCACCTCATCACCCTCCAGTCTCCCTTTCTGCAGACCCTTACGGGCAACCATTTCACTTCTCTTTCCTGGAAATGACATCCACTTTGTTAAGAATACCATAATCAGCCAACTGCCTGTTCCCTACCAACAAATGGCAAACCAGTGTGATCTCAACACTAGTATTGGTTGTCACATCAACTTTTTAAGAATTCTACGACCGTGTCTTGATTCATGGAAAATTATAGCTTTCTACCATAGGTGTGGGAGACTGAAATGACAAGAAACAGTCACTTTTCAGTCTAGATATTCTACAGAGTGCTGGTTCCTGTCTTTTGGGTGAGGGGTGTTCCATCCTGATATGTCTCAGCAACTTCCTTCCTCCACTAAAGGTCCACAGGGCTCTAGCCTCTTGCCTTGCATCAGAAAATAACTACAGAGTACTCTGAGGACTCTATCCTCCTCCCATGATACCAACTCTCTGCCCCTTCTCTCCCACCAGCTATTTGCAGTTGCACAGAAACATCACCAACCAGGGGACAAAGGTGTATACTGGATGTCTGGGTTTAACTCTCAGGCTAGACCTCAAATTATACCTCAATTGAAAGTCTGAGGTATAATTCAAAAAGCATTAGTCTGAGAGTCTGTGCGTTTGGTTTCTAGAGGATGAAGATCTCTAGGCCTGGGTTTCCTTATCTCTAGAAAATTTTAGAAGACCTCTAACCTGTCTTCCAGTCCTTCTGTATCTGAGTTTTTTGAAAGCTACACTGAAGATTTTTTCCTTAAATTTATTTCATTTCGAAACTCATTTGCTAAATGAGATTGCTATTTTGTAGGACAAACATGGTCAAATGTAGGTGATTTTATACATTACCAATGACTTAATATCATACTTACTAGAATATGCATGACACATACATGTAATTTAAAGAAAACAAATAGCCACAGACCCACCTAACTCCATTATGTAAAAATCCACAATGTAGTCATCCATTCTCTTTTCAACAGGCATATGGGTGAGTTCAGTTTTGTTTTGTTTTTACTATTACAAACAAGATTGCTATGGTTATTCTTGTACTTCTTCTTGTCTGTATTTCTAATTTCTCTGGAAGCCATAGGGTATGCATATCTTCAAACTTATACAATCACCATAATTTTCCAGACTTTTTACACTGATTTATACCCCCATCATCCATCTATAAGACTTAGAGTTATTCCACATCTTTGCCAACACTTGCTATTACTTGATTTTGTTTTACAGTTTTGCCATCCTAGTGAATGTAAAACTACAGTGCACTGTGGTTTAATTTGTATTTTCCTGATAAATAATGAACTTGAAAATCTCCCCTCCCACCAAATCTTTAATCTGAATTGCTTACAAGCTTTATAATTGTGGGTTGAGTTTCAGCCTCTTTCTTTTTTTCTGCCCTGCATATTCTAACCAGCTGGTGAATAGTGACACAGCGCTGGAAGACACAGTGGGGAGCATGTGGATAATCCACAAAGTCGATAATCTGCCTTTAAATAAATAACCAGGAGTTGACCCTTGGGGATTGTGCTCACACAATTCAACTGCCATGACCCAGTGTAATATTTCATGTCTTGCTATAACTCTCCCCAAGCACTATTTTGCATGCAACTAAGTACTTGGGCAATTCTTTCATCTGAATGACTAGCTTATTTCAACCATAGTTTGCTTGAGACACAAAAGGTTTGTGCTACCTGCCTGTGATATCGTTCCAGGTGGCTGGCACCTTAGCCTTCTTAGACGAAGTGGGTTTCACATTTCTCACCCTTCCCCCTTGTGAATGAGCAGTTTCTCAATGACCCTTTTAAAATGTGATAGAAAAATTGGAGAACCTTTTAAATCACATCATTCAGTAGCACATATTCAGAAAAGCGACCTTCACTACATTTTCCCTCCAGAGAGAGAAAGCAACTGGAATGATGATCTTTCTTAAAGAATTTTGTGAATACATGATTGTGGTGAATAAAATTCTGGTGAATAACTCACATAGAATCAGGAACAATTGAAAAAGGAATCCAGGCTACCCTCACCCCTAGCCTTTGTCGACGGGATCACCAGAGACCTATGTAGATATTATTTTGAAATTTAGAGCTTCAACTTGTATGAACATGAATGCCCATGCTGAGTTTCTGCGTGCCTCTGTGAAACAGCTAAAAGAACCCGACAGACCCTATTCTTGCATTAAAGCAACACACTGTGGAAAGCCTGAAAATAAACCATCTATGCTTGATTAATTAGGTTTGTAAGTATTGTTTCAGAACCAAACAATATTTCTAAAGATTTCAATAGTTCAAAGATTGCCCTATGGCCGTCTGGCCAATACATCTTCTAACACACGCAGTTTACAAGCATTTTTCTTCCCAATATGCTGTCTTTGGTTGGTGCGACATTGTTCGAGTGCAAGGCTATTTGGGTCATAGTGTTTGCTCCCCTGCACAGCAGTGGTGCTGAGAATAGCACTTCAACCATACATCTTCCATGTCATTTCCATCAAAGGCACATGATACTTCCTGGTGACCAATCAGCATTGGGCCAGCATCCTAACAGAGGGCATATTGGCAAACCAAGCTTTCTTAATGACAACTATTGTTCAAGACCAACAAAAGGGAGGTCCTGAATATTAACATGTGGCCTTGTGTAAAGGTCACCAGTATGGCACATCCATCATATTTCACAACGAAGAAAGAGAACTTTATAAATTCTGTCAGAACCTACTGTTGTCCAAATGTATTAGGCTGACAGCTGACACCAACAAGGCAAATGATCTTGAGTGATGTGCTCCTCTTTTAACAAATATCCTTTCACTTCTTTGAAGCAGCAACGGATATTATTGTGAGAGATGGTGTTTAAGGAATATACCTCGAAGCCATGGGGTTAGAATAACCAGGCAACTCAATTAAAATATTAATTGAACAACATGTAATCATTATACCAAATGGCATCGCCTTCTAACAAGCACAAGTTTCCACACTGAAAAGACAAGTCATGTATTTTAACATCTCTGAGTCTTGAAAGGTCTTGCTCAGGGTAAATAAGAAGTCCATGAACTCTCTCCATAATTTTACAATGAACAAATACTCAAAGGCCTGGGTTTATTAACAACACTGCATCTTGGTTGCAACATGATGTAGGATGGCTGAACTGAATGGCCCAAAATGGTGTCATATGCATTTAGTACAAGCCTAAGAACAGATAACAAATTTTCTAAACAATCTTGATTAGGACCATGTCTATGTTCAATGTTAGAGATGGGGGTTCTGGTTATTAAACACCCTCATTCTAAAAAAGTGGGAAATTCTTTGTTTCTATTTTATCTGAAAAGAATATGAGCAGAGTGAAATTAAAAAATGAGCCAGCTCTCAGCTCTCTCATTTTATCCCTACTGTCACGGTCATGAGAGAGGGGAAGCAACAGGAATGAGAGAAACGAAGGAAAGGAAAGGGTGTTCTTTAAGTTCCTTGGAGACATTGTACTTCATAATTTTCTCCTGACATTCAGACATTTCTTTCTAACTGGAATATTTTCCACAAGATGTTTTCAGTATCTTTTAACCAATTTTTACTCACCCTTCAGTTATTTTTCCTAACCTCTGAACTGCTATATTCTCCTGAATGTTCCCATAGCTTACAACCACACTTAAAATTGCTTACTGAATTATTTATCTTCAAAATTATTCCAAATTCCATGAGAACAGAGCCAAGATATGTCTCCTTCCTCATTGTAGGTACTCTGTAATTGTTTATTCAGAAACAGTACTTTCAATAATAAAATAAGCTTGAGTTCTAATTCATTACCTCTCACATAAGTTTTTGTTAAATGAAAGGAATTCTCACATACATTAAAGAGTCAATATTAGAATTTGCCTTTATTGTGCTATGGGAAAGACACCAAGCAACTCTACCACAAATACATACTTTATTATAATCTCAGCAGATACACACATACACTCACACACACACATGTGAACGGCCCTTTGGAAAAAGCATTTGCCAAGAAAAATAGTTCTATACATAATATATCAGGGACAAAGTCACTCAAAATACTGGTGTTTCAAAATACTTAGTCACTTATTTTGACACTGAGTCCTTCTTCCTACTTCTGTATTTACCCTATATGCAATATTGTCTATTACATCCTATCGGCTTTCAAGGTCTATCCTGAGTTAATACCACTGATTTTATGAAACCGTCCCCCCCTGCTCATGCTCACCACTTGCCCTATACTATCACACCAAAGTATAGAAGTAACCAATCAAAGTATTTAACAAAATTCTAAATTAAAAAAATTCTGTTGGCAATGTTTTCTTTCTTTCTTACATAGTAATCATAATTTATTGTGTGCTCAGACACATATATCAGCACAATGATTCAGATTCTAAGTGGCTTAAATAAGA